TATTAAAACAGTATATGTGTTAGAGAAAGAATTGCATGTACAAAAATTACATGCAGTTGTCAGAAAAATGACTGTAAAGTGAACACTGCACATTTTAAGAAGTCAAAAAGGGACTGGTTAAGCAGAACAACCAACTAAAAGCTGTTTCTTGTATTTCCTTGCAAAAGCATATAACTTTTTATCTTGACATAAATTTTACTGTCTTTACTATTCTGATTTCAATTACAAAACATATCTCTCATAATTTCTGCATATTGCAGCAGATTGATATGAATTAACCTGAACACATTGGAAGTACTTTAACAACCATAGCTCTATAAAACTTTCAAAGATAATGTACAACAAATAAGGAGATTTCTGAAATATTTAGACATTAATCTAATAATAAAAATTCTTGGGTGACAACTCAAATAACCGTTTTTGTTTGACAACTGTCAGGTAATAAAATATCAGCAAACAAAAACTTTTTGATAACTTTTTAATGCTTTAATAACTTTACCATCATCTATCAGTTGTATGCTTAAAAACACACGTTTTTAGCTTATTTTTTAGCAACATAAGCAAACATACTTTAATTTTTTTATAACAAAACATTAAAATTTACTAAGTCACCAGTATTATAACTTTGTCATTGTTTTCGACTATTAAATAGATTATTTTTTCAATACTGTTATTCTTTGCGCACATTTCTTTAGTTGTTTCCACTAAATAAAACAACCTAATATGTTGTTGACTTTAGACTTAAAGCATACTAAACTTTTCAGATTTTTAGTTATTGCTCTAGCAATTTTTTATGGTATAATCTGACTACACTACTCTTTGTCCTCATTGAACACCTAGCTTCTATTTTTGCTAATGAAACTACTATCGGTAAACAAGAATTCTTTGTGATTTAATGCTCAGTTTATTTCTAACTGCAGAAAAATTTAAAATTTCTATTGAATAGTAAGAAAGTGAAGAAGAAAATTTGAGATTAAGTTTTTCATATGTTAATTAGCATAAACTTTTTTTTAATTTTTTTAAGGTGTTGCTTTGTAGTATAAACTTTTGGTGTTTATTTATTCTTTTTTTTAAAATAATATAACTGCTTTTCTTGTTTAAAACTACACAAAGAAAACTTGCCAAAAAGACTGCTTTAAGTGAAAAAAATAGTAAAATTTTAATATAAAATAAATTCCACTTTTTTTTCTTCAGTATTACTGCTGTTTTTACAGCTTAAGACTCAACTTTATGATTGTCAACGTTTATTATACTCCAAGTAATCTCCATCAAATTTAGAATGCAAAACCTTTTTTTTACCTTTTTTTTTTTTTTTTTGG